CAAGTTCAAGGTACCGAACCCTGAGAGTCCTAGGACTCTGGTGACGGACGCATCCTCTGCAGACCTAAACTAGACGTGCGCATCTGGGTGTGGTGGAGGTGGGGTTGGCCTCCACCACATTTCACAGTGTTTGTTAATACACGGTCTGTTACTAAGCTTGGATCGGAGCTCATTGATAGGGTTGCCTGGCTGTCCGGTAGGCCCCGGTGGGCCTCCCCATTTTCGGTGCACACAGCCATTCCCAGCTTCTCATTACAGAAGACTGGGATTCAGACTCAGGTCCTCAACTGTGTGTAGGAAGTTCTTTGCAGGCCAAGCCCTCCTCAGCCCCACCTTTGCCTTGTAAATAACCCTGAGTTACCTGGTTACTTTGGTCATGGAGTGTCTAACATTCTGAATAACCTACTGTCTGCCCCACAGGTAAGGCGAGGGAGATTTCTAAGTTGAAAAAAGTAATTTTTTTATGTGTATGAGTGTGTTGCCTGCATGCTTGTAAGTGCACCGTGTGCATGACTGGTCTAAAGGATCACCTGGAACTGGAGGTACAGGACATGGAGTTGGCATGCCTCCATGTGGGTGCTGGGAAAAGGACCTAGGTCCTTTGCAAAAGCAGCAAGATGGCTTAATCACTAAGCCACCTCTACGGCCTCCAAGTAGATGTTTTAATACAAACATTAATCACTGTAGTGGGAGAAAAGTACCAGGGAAAGCAGGTGAACCTGGTTCTGAGTCTGGCTGTGAACACGTGGCACCGGAACAAGAAAGAGTCTAGAAGTAATCCAGGGAATTAAAATAGGCATGAACTGGTTAGGGAGAAAGGCCAGCACTTGCACAAGGCTTTCTGAGTTCAAACTCTGCCCTGAATGATTTTGGATGTCGCTTTATATTCCTCATTTTATGTATTTTTATATGATAAAAATTCTGCCTTACAGAAGAGGAAACTGGGGCCTAGATAGGTTAAGGAACTTAACTAATGGAAGTCACATATGTTAGTTTAATTACAAAGATAAGGCTTTGAATTTTATTTTAGAATTTTTTCCCTTAGAAACTTAAATCTTAAAATATTTCTTGGCCAACTTTGATCATGATCACTTGTTATTTTATTTCAATTTTTTTCATTTTTCATGGATGCACATGCATGCCAAAGCATGGAGATCAGTTTTTTCTTTCCATCTTTTCATGGTTTCTGGGGGCTGAACGCAGGTCACTAGGCTTGCACAGTAAGTAACTTTACCTGCTGAACCATCTTGCTGACTGACCCACAACCAAAATTCTAAGATAGAAGTTGAACTTTTTTGGTTTTTGGAGACAGGGTTTCTCTGTGTTAGCATTGTAGCCTGTCCTGGAACTTGCTCTATAGACCAAGCTGGCCTGGAACTCCACCTGCCTCTGCCTCCCAAGTGCTGGGATTAAAGACCATCACCACAGCCAAGCAAGTTGAACTTAAGATTCGCTTTTATGTGTATGGTGTGTGGCCGGAACACGTGCTGTGCACCATATGCATGCACTGCCTGGAGAATCCAGAAGAGGGCGTCAGAGTCCTTGGAACAGAAGTTACTGATGGTTGCATTGCCATGTGTATGCTGGGAACGTAATCCAGGTCCTCTAGAAGAGCAGCCAGTGCTCGTAACCCCTGGGCAATCTCTTCAGCCCCGTGCATGTTGAATTTAATCTTGAGTCTTTGGGTAGTGTATCTGTTTTAAATTTGCTAGGTTGTAAATTCCCTCCCTAGAGAGCACAGAAAGACTTTTTAACACACTCTTTCTGAAGCCTCGCGGTACTGTTTTTCATCACTTCCAGGGTGCAGTAACAGATGTTCTTTTTTCCAGATTCAGGTGTCCCCATTTTTACAGCAGATGTTCATGCCCCTGCTTCATGCCATTTTTGAAGTGCTGCTACGACCAGCAGAAGACAACGACCAGTCAGCTGCGCTGGAGAAGCAGATGCTGAGGAGGAGTTACTTCGCCTTCCTGCAAACAGTCACTGGCAGCGGAATGAGCGAAGTGATTGCCAATCAAGGTAGGGATGCACGCCATGCCTCGTGTCTGCTGAGGTCCCTGTCACAGTTGTGCACCCTGTGGTCAACGTGAGTGGAAGTAAACACCAAACTGTGATGAGGGTGTGGTCTGGTGGCCCTATGGTTGTCCAGCACTTTAAGAATAGAAATGAGTTGCATGCATGTAAAGCACCTTACAAGTAGTTTGTATTCAGTTTCTCTTGAATTGCTGGTGAGCAGCGTAGTGAGCATGTACCAAAATTGCCTGACACTTGAGTCTTCCTGGCTAGTTGGCCATCTTATAACTGAAAGTAGAACTAGCCAACCATAGTGGTTGTTATTGCACTTATCTGGGGGACTGAGGCAGGACAGTGAAGTGCACAGTATCGGGGCCAGCCTCACCAACTAGAGCCAGCCCTTTTCTTTACAAGGGAAGAGGAGTAACCTGGGCATAGTGAGTGTCTTCACTACTCTATTAGCGAAGACACTAATTACTAATCGGTTACACTGTGATGAGACACCGTGGCAAAGACAACTTAAAATAAAGACCTTATTGTTGCTTACAGTTTTGAAGGGTAAGTCCATGGCAGTCATGGCGGGGGCACGACAGCAGGCACGGTGCTGGAGAGCAGCTGAGAGAACAGGCACAAGGCAGAGAGAGCTGACTGAGAATACGGGGAGCTTTGGAAACCTCAAACCCAACCAGTAACTCCCTTCTACCAACAAGGCCATGCTTCCTAATTCTTCCTAAACAGTCCACCAGCTGGGGACCAGGCTTTCAAATATATGAGTCTAGGGGTCCATTCTCATTCAAACCACCACATAGAGCCTTTAATTCCAGTATTGGTGTGGCACAGGCAGGCAGACATCTATGAGTTCGAGGCCAGCCTGGTCTATTCAGCAAGGTTCAAGATAAACAAATGGATGAATAAATAAAATTCAGCAGAGCAGGATATTAAAGGAGTCCTCGGTGCTTAGCATTTAGGTGGTTGGTTAATAAAAGAGGTGAAGACATTTTATCACTGCTGTAATGTGCTTTGATTAGTGTGTATTTTGAAATGCGTGCTTCAGGTTGTTTTTTCTTTTCTTCCAGGTGCAGAGAATGTAGAACGTGTGCTGGTTACTGTTATTCAAGGAGCCGTTGAGTATCCAGATCCGATTGCACAGAAGACATGTTTTATCATTCTCTCAAAGCTGGTGGAGCTCTGGGGTGAGATGAAGTTTTGTTTTCATTTTGTGGAGATTTTATCCTGACCTCCCTCCACCCCCAGCCTTGGACTCAAACCCAAGGCCTCTTTTCCTTTATGTGGACTGAGTGACTTTCTTTTTAAACAAGGTGAAAATTTGGATTCTCTTGGCAGGAGGCAAAGATGGACCAGTGGGATTTGCTGACTTTGTTTATAAGCACATTGTCCCTGCGTGTTTCCTGGCCCCTCTAAAGCAGACCTTTGACCTGGCTGATGCGCAGACCGTGTTGGTAAGCACCTAAGTCTGTCTACCATGCACAGATCTTGTAGAAGCTTCTCTAATGACAGGCTGATTTTTTTTGGTTTTTTTTTTTTTTGTTTTTCAAGACAGGGTTTCTCTGTGGTTTTGGAGCCTGTCCTGGAACTAGCACTTGTAGACCGGGCTGGCCTCGAACACACAGAGATCCACCTGCCTCTGCCTTCCGAGTGCTGGGATTAAAGGCGTGCGCCACCAACACGCGTGTCTTTATGGATTGTTTTTATATATCCATAATGACTTCAAATTAGGATTCATTGAGTTATTTGTTCTGGAGACAGAACAAGGATGTCACACATTTGGTCGGTCATCCCTCCTCTTTGTCGTTTCCCCCTTTTCTTTATCTTTCTCACTCTCTCCTTTCTTTCCTCTTCCCTCTTCAGTTTTCTGTCTTTTCCTTCCTCCTCACTTGGGTTTTGCTGTGTAGCCGTAGCTGGCCAGGATCTCACTGTGTACACCAGACTTCCCTTAAACATGTAGCCAATCCTCATGCCCTACTCTGGGGCTTCCCCTGTGATTAAGAGTATTAATAAACAATTTTCTTTTTGTGTGATGGGTCCCAGATACCATCATCTGTAGGGTTAAGCTAGCCCCTTTAGGGGGCGCCACCAACAAACAGCCAAAAGCTGTGTTAAACTCTGTTTTTTTTCTGTGATAAAAATTAAGCTCTCTCAGGTTTTACGTGGAGTTCATTAGCACGTTGGGTGCCACCCGGCCGCCGCACAGCTAGCTTTACCCGAAATAATTACACGGAAACTGTGTTCTTTTAAACATCGCTTGGCCCACTAGCTCTAGTCTCTTAACCCATTTCTAATAATCTATGTAGCACCACGAGGTGCGCTTACCAGGAAAGATTTCGCATGTCTGACCTGGTGGCTGGCTGCATTGCATCTGCCCAGGAGAGAGCTGCATGGTGTCTCTGAGCTCACTTCCTCTTTCTCCCAGCATTCTGTTCTGTTTACTCCTCCCACCTATGTTTTAACCTATGAGGGCCAAGCAGTTTCTTTTTGCTTAACCAATGAAATCAACAGATTGCTATATGACACTCCCACATCAGTCATCGGAGCACTTCGTGTGAGAGTTCTTTCCTCACCTCTCATTGGTTTATTAAAAGCCATACTACATTAGGGCTGCACTTTGTATTTTTTTCCTTTTTCTTTTCATGTCTATGGGTGTTTGCTTCCATGTATGTCTACATGCCGTGTGCTTGCCTGGTGCCTCCCGAGGCCAGAGAGGGAGTCAGATCCCCTGGGACTAGAGTCACAGTTGCCTGTGAGCCACTGTGTGGGTGCTGGTTCTCAGGAAGAGCAGCCCCGAGTCCTCCCTGCAGTCTCCAGTGATTTGTGTTTTGCTTTCTTCTGTGCAGATTTTCCTTGCGGTAGCTTGGAGGTGGGAGGGTTTGTAATGAAGAACTGCCCATATTAAAATCTGAAGCTTGTTTTTTGCAGGCGCTTTCTGAGTGTGCTGTGACTCTGAAAACAATTCATCTCAAACGGGTAAGGTTCACAGTCCTTGCTCCTTCCCTCAGTTTATCCCGTATTTGCTCTGCTTTCCGTTGGCTCTGACTTATGCTTGAAAGCTGTGTTTTCTGAAAGGTGACTTCAGGACTGATTGTTGTGGCTGTGGAAGGGAATGAGTGAAAGTAGCAGTGACTGTTGCTGCCTTCACATTGTGGGTCACAAGATAATTTCAGTATTCAATTTGTACAGCCAGATGTCTGTGCCCTGTTTGTTCTGGGTCTGTGTGTATATGTGCAGGCCAGATGTGCCTGTGGGGGAGAAGTCTTGTGCCAGCCAGAGGTCAGCCTCAGGTGTACTGGATCTGGGGCTCCTTGCTGGACTAAGCTGGCAGGGCATTCCAGGGAACCGTGGTTTCTGCCTCCCTAGCACAGGAGTTAGAAGCATCCCTTAGCATGTGGGCTTTTGTAATTAAGGTAGGTGTTGGGGTGCTTAGCCAACTGAGTTATTACTCTAGCCTTTAATGTACACATGTGTGTATGTGTCTATATGTATATATGAACATATGTATATATTTGGTTCAAGATGAGGTTTCTCTGTGTAACAATCCTGGCTGTTCTGGAATTCGATTTGTACACCAGGTTGGCCTTGAACTCACAGAGATCCTCCTGCCTCGGCCTCCCATGTGCTAGGATTAAAGGCCTGCACCACCACGCCTGGCTAATGGATTTATTTTTTATTTGCTAATTTACTGTTTTATTGGTTTGTTGAGACAGGATTTCATACTGTGGCCCAAGCAATTCTTTTGCCTCAGCCTCTCACATTTACAGATAGGATTAGAGACTTCTGTTACTTGTAAATACCAAGTTCTTTCTGGGCAGTCTCATTTTATGTATAGTTTATAACTAACTTTAGGTATTTTCAGATAACTTGAATTAGTTCCCAACATTTAAAAATAAGTACCTTTTTTTCTTTTTCAAAAATTCCTGTTTTCTTCTTCTGACCCAGCACAGACCTGCGTTTCCTGAGCTGCAGTTAACTGCAGAGTAGCTCATTCCCTGTTTCCGTAAAAGAACGAGACAGCAGCACTTTCGCTTCTCTGAGCTTGAGTCTTTTTCTTCTAGTGGAAGGCTGGCGGTTCTCAGTCCCACAGCGTGCGCCACCATGCATGGCACCTGTGCTTCCCTAGGTAGGGTCAGGGCTGCTGTTTGCACGGAAAAGGGCGTAGGATGAATCCCCTGCTGCGGAATATTATTGAACTGTGTAAAGGTGTGTTAAGTTGTTTCTGGCTTTTGTCAGCGATGAAAAGATGTGGTACATTTGTTTGATTAAATAAAATTAACCTGGGTTCAGGAGGTTGAGCAACAACTAACTGACAGAAGAGGTAACAAGGGTTCTTTAGTGGGGGCTAAGCAGAAGGATGGCCCATTTTTAGGGAGAGGAAGATGCCAGGGGCCAGCCACACAACCAGTCACAGAGGAAAAAGGAAAGAAAAGTATAGAGAATGAAGAAAGGTAAAAGCACAGACACAAAAGATAGATGGAATAGAAATAAGCTGGATAGAAATAAGCAAGCTAAGGCCAGACATTTATAAGTAAGACTAGGCTTCTGTGTGTTTATTTGGAAGCTGGATGCGGGCCCCCAAAGAGTTTGGAAACACACAGACACCCTACAATTTCCGCTATTTATGGCGCTAAGAATCAAGGGAAAACAATGTATAAATAACATTCAGTAGTTTAAATAGGCATTTTAATGGGTATATAAAATAGTAGAGGATTCAGACTGCCTAGCTGAACAGTAAGCATGCCATAGAAAGAGGTGTAGTGTTTCTGCTAGGTCTTGGACAGATGTGCGTTGGTTGGACTGACTTTCTGGACAGAGCATGGTGTGTGAGGACAACAGGTGTCCATGATGGATCTGGTGGAAGACTGGACTTAGCCCTTCCCAATTATGCATATAGGCAGAAGCAATAGCTTAAAAATGCAATGGGGATAAATGTTAGAAGCTGTGTTGTTGAATTGAATGGCCGGGTGGTTGTGGTGTGGGTAGCTGGGTAGGAGAGACGGTCAGGAAACTGTTGGGAGTACGAGCGATATATGCTTAGAACTAAATGCTGACTTTGGCATCCTTACCGTTAGTCTGTCAGAATCTATAAGATCAGGAACAAAAGAACTTTGCCTAAAGCAGCAGCAAAGAAATACCCAGAAAAAGAGGCAGCTTCAACAGGCAGAGTACGTGCTGTCCTGCAGAGGACTGTATCCCTTCACTCATGTGGGAAGGCCCTCGAGTGGGCTGTACCTCTAGCTCAAGGGATCCAGTGTCTCTAGACACACACACTCATTCAGTCACTGAAAACACACACACATAATCAAAAATAACTTAAAAATGAGAGTGCTACCTGTGGGTTTCACCACAGTTAGGCTGTTGTGAAAGGTAAGGGCAGAGAGTCATGATGGGAGACGCTTGAGAGTTGGGACGAGGGACGAGAAGCAGTGTAAAATGGTGATCTGAAGCAGTGCTTTCAATCCATATTAGTAAAAGTTCTAATTCAAACACTTTTGCTTGGTTCTGCTTCCTGGTTTTGTGGCGAGAGGACTTCTTTTTTGGATTCAGTCTATTTGGTGTTCTGCACGCTTCTTGTATCTTCATAGGCATATCTTTCTTTAGGTAGGGAAAGTTGTCTTCTATGATTTTGTTAAATAAAGTTTCTGTGCCTTTGAGTTGAATTTCTTCTTCTGTACCTATTATTCTTAGATTTGGTCTTTTCATGGTGTCCCATATTTCCTGGATATTTTGGGTTAAGCTTTTATTAGATTTAATGTTTTCTTTAACTGATGAGTCTATGTCCTCTGTTGTATCTTGAGATTCTCTTGTCCATTTCTTGTATTCTGCTGTTCATGCTTGTGTTTGTGGTTCCTGATCTTTTTCTCATGATTTCTGTTTCTATAATTCCTTCAGCTTGTGTTCTCTTTATTGTTTCTATTTCAATTTTGAAGTCCTGAATAGTTTCTTTTATATGTTTGATTTCTTTTTCTTGGTTTTCTTTAAGTGATTTGCTGATACCTTCCAATTCTTTGTCTTTCCCTCAAATTCTTTAAGGGAATTTCTCTTTTCATCTTTAAGAATTTCAAACATTCTTCTGAAGTTATTTTTTAGGTCATTTTGTTCTGGTTCATCCATATTTGGTTGTTCAGGTCTTGCTGTTGTAGGGTCTTTAGGTTTTACTGGTGTTGTGTTGCTCTTTGTGGTGTAGTGTGTGATCTTACCTTTTCTACTCATCTTTTCCTCTAATAGGTGTGGTTGAGATTCTGAATGTTAAATAATCTTCTAGGTGCCAGTGAATCCAAAGCTCAGATGGTTGTTCCTCGTGGTACAGTGTCACAGTTCTAGTTACCCCGTTGGTTACTCTTGTTCCTGGAGATAGCTCAGCGCTCCTGTGCCTTGCTTTGCTTCTTGCAGTTTGCTGTCTCAATACTACTTTGGCCTAGGTTGCTGGCTTTGCCCTGATTCTGTAAATCCTGGTCTGGATCCCCTCCTGCAGAAGTCCCTGGCTTGGAGTTGAACCTGTTCTGGTGGAGATCGCTGGCTCAGTCCTGATCCACCAGTGTCCTGGGACTGGATTGGCTTCCAGGACTGGATTTGCTCTTGGCTTCTGCTCCTGGTGGAGCTTGTTTCCTCAGGCCCTCTCTGTCTTAGGTAGCTGGTTCTGAGCCTCTCCTGTGGAATTTGTTGCCCAAGATGGAGTTCCTTGCCTTGGGGCAGATGTGGCCTAGGTTACTAGCTTTGATCTGTGTCTGTAAATCCTGGTCTGGATTCCCCTCCTGCAGAAGTCCCTGGTTTGGAGTTGGGCCTGGAAAGGTTTCTGGCTCTGGTCTACTGCCTCAGAGGTCCCAGGCTCACTACACCCGGACCCACAGAGGACCTGCTTACTCCCTCAGAGGTCCCAGACTCACACTCAGACCTGCAGAGGTTCCAGGTTCCTGCCTATTCCCTTTGATGTCCCAGACCAATGCCCGGACACTTGTTTCTGGTTTTGAATATTAGAATACAATCTACTTTTCCAAATACCCTTGTTTTGTGTTTTAAAAAGAAGTTAATTTATTTCTCTCTCCTTGTCTTCTCTCTCTCTCTCTCTCTCTCTCTCTCTCTCGTGCGCACAATACAGGCGTATGGGAATGGCAGTCAGTGTGTTGGAAATAAGCAGAATGGGTAGACTAACGGAAAGGTGTGAGACGCCAACTGAGAAACCCTTCAGAACCAATGTAGTGTTCATTCCCCACAGCTGACAGATTCTCTCTGAGGGGTCGGGAAGTTGAGACCTGGCCCATTTAGGTCGAGGGCCAGGAGTCAGAGCAGACAGGAAAGGAGAAGGACTGGTAAGCAGAGGAGAGGACAGTGGAGGAAAGCGGCCTCACTCTGCAGCCAGGCTGGCACCATACTCAGAGCAGTCCTTGCGCTCGAGCCTCCCCAGGGCTAGCTGTGAACCACTGCTTTTGTTTAGTGATTTACTTCCAGGTTGGAACCATCTATTTACTAAAGCCCTTAAAAGTTATCAAATGCAGGCCAGGGAAGATGGCTCAGCCATCGGACGCTTACTGTGCAAGTGCAAGGACCTGTGTTTAGGTCTTCGGCACCCACAAAATAACCAGGCATGGCTATGCACATCTGTAATCTCGGGGCGGGGGTGGGGGATGTAGACAGGTGGATCACCTCTGGAGTTTACTCCCAAATTGGCCAACTCCAGATTCAATGAGCAACCCTGTCTGAGAAATAAGGCAGAGAGCAGTGTATAAAGACAGCCAGCACCAGTCTCTGGCCTCCAAGTGGTCACGCACAAGTTATCAAAAGCCAGGAAATTAATTGCGCTTCTTTTCCTAAGTGTTGGATTTGTTCAATATTTTTTATGGCTTAATCTCAAAAATTCATTGCTAGGCGGTGTAGAGAGGGGCTGCAGGCCAGCCTGCTTTTTGTCCTGCCCAGCTCCTGCACGGCTAGCTTTACACCCGAAATAACAACACACAAATTGTATTCATTTAAACACTGCGTGGCCCATTAGCTCTAGTCTCTTACTGGCTAACTCTCATATCTTGCTTTAACCCAAATCTAATAATCTGTGTAGCACCACGAGGTGGTTGCTTACCAGGAAGATTCTAGTGTACGTCCATCTTAGGCTGGAGCTTCATCACATCTGGCTCAGAGAGGAGAGGCATGGCGATAGCCTAACTCTCTCCCAGCATTCTGTTCTGTTTACTCTGCCTACCTAATTTCCTGTCCTATCAAGGGCCAAGGCAGTTTCTTTATTAACCAATGAAATCAACTCAAAACAGAAGACCATCCCACATCAAGGGGGAAGCGATTTTCAAAGTGTCTCCTGGATTCCTTGGTTGTAGTTGGAAGCGGGTAGGGCCCAGAGATTGGCGGGGTCCTCTTGCTCCACTGAGTTTACCAAGGCTGACTTCAGAAGGTTCACATGTGGGTGTGCTAGGAAATGGTCACCTGACAGCAGTGGCTTCCTCTTCCCTGCTGTGTTGGGGAAGGAAAGTGAACTGCACTGCTTTTAGAACATCAGTTTTTTCTGGCACCACCTCAGCCTTCCCTCCATGCCCTCATGATCTGTGTTCTGTTCACTGGCAGATTGATAGTATTGCCCTTTGCTGTGGTTCTTCAGTGCTCAGATGTGGCTGTATACAATCTTTGTTGTATATTATGTATTACATAATATATTGTTTGTATATAATGTGCACAGATATTTTTATGGGTCATCAAATCTATCCAGTAACTTAATTTTTCAGATGGAGAACTGGGGACTTAGAGCAGTTAGTTTAAGTTGGCATAGAGTCAGGTTTCAAATGAAGACAGTCTGATCTAGAGCCTGTGTTCTTTCCCTAATACTGTACCGCCTTTGGGTGGGAGTGCTGATCTAATCTCTTCGTGTTATTAGTGCCCAGTTGTCTTTTCATCTGCAGGGCCCTGAATGTGTGCAGTACCTTCAACAAGAGTACCTGCCCTCCTTACAGGTCTCTCCAGAAATAATTCAGGTAAGAGCTCCCCTAACAGATTTCACTGGGAATTTTATTAAATAAATGTGAGTGTATACTTCAAATCTAAATTTTAATTCAAAAAAGTCAGATAGTTATTCGGGAAGTTAGGGTGCATTTAACTTATTTTGCTGTCAGTAGCCTAGAATCTAAAGTAATCCATGAAACTGAATGAGAACAATTTTATGTGTTCATTCTCACTGATCTCCAATACAATTTACCTTCCTACCATTCAGTGACAGGCCACAATAATAGTAACATTGTCTGTAACCACACCTAATAGAAAGCACATTTGTATGTCAGAAATACCGTCCACCTCCCCTGAGGCCTCTGTTTCGGGCCTCTGGCTCAACAGCTGAGCTAGAGTGACTGGTCCACAAGCCCAGGTGTCCTGCTGCTGCCACTCCCGCCGTGCTGGGGTTCCAGGGACATGCCACCATTGGGTTCTGAGGTTCAGTCTCTGGTGCTTCCCAGATGAGGAATCCCCCAACCTGATGTCACATATATTTTCATGGCATATTGGTTGGAAATACTTAGAAATAATTATTTGTGGGTCGGGCAGTCGTAGTGCACACCCTTAATCCCAGCACTTGGGAGACAGAGGCAGGTGGATCTATGTGAGTCCAAGGCCAGCCCAGTCTACAAAGCAAGTTCCAGGACAGCTAAGACTTTTACACAGAGAAACCCTGACTCGAAAAATGGGGGGAAAGGGAAATATTTGTGTGTGTGTCTCTATTTTGAAATTATGAGTATTTGAGTAGTGCTGCTTATGTTGTTACCTAGGAAGATACCAAGTTTTGTTAAAATCCGAGTTCATGGGGCTCGGTGTAGCTCACAACCACCTGTAAGTCCAGTTCCAGGGGCTCCAGTGCCCCCTTCTAGCCTCTAAGGGCTTGGGGTGCACATAAACTCATGCAAGCCCATATACATAAGAACAAATAGAGCCTTTTAAAAACCAAAGCTCATTACACTTCCTTTCTTTTCCAATTCTGAAGTATTGTGTGCTTTTGAGGGTGGGAGGAATGTTCAGGCAGGCAAGGGAGCCCTGCATGCAGTTCTGCCATTTAAGAGATTAGGGCAGGGTCTGGATTGGAACCTGCGTGATTTTAAGTGAGTCCGGCCCAGCTGGGGCTGCCGAGTGACAAGCAAACCGAAGAAGAAAGAAGACGTGCTATCGCTTGCCAGCAGTGATCATAGCGTATGAAGAAGACGTGCTATAGATTGCCAGCAGTGATCATAGCGTATGAAGAAGACGTGCTATAGATTGCCAGCAGTGATCATAGCATATGAAGACATGCTATCACTTGCCAGCAGTGATCACAGCACATAAAGACTTTGTTCTGGCAAGCATGTACTTCAGTGGTAGTACGTTTGCTTGCCTATCATGTTCAAGACCTTGGGTTCAAAGGGAAATGAAAGTGGCAAAGAAAAAAGAAAGAGGTAACAAGGAAGGGGAAAAAAAACAAAAGAACTTTTGCCCAGGTTTGTCTCAAGGTTTTGTTTTTTTGGGATTTTTGTTGTTGTTGTTGGGTTTTTTTACTTTATTTATTTATTTATTGGTTTTTCAAGACAGGGTTTCTCTGTGCCTTTGGAACCTGTCCTGGAACTAGCTCTTATAGACCAGGCTGGCCTTGAACTCACAGAAATCCACCTGCCTCTGCCTCCCGAGTGCTGGGGTTAAGGGTGCTCCACCACTGCCCGGCTTTGTGTCAAGTTTTTGATGTTTAAGTCTGAGGTTGTGTTTTGAGGTGGGCGGCTAGAACGTTACTGTGTACTTTGACATTTGACAAAGTGTAACAGCACATACGTTGTTCAGCAGCTTCCCACACTTCTTGTGCTGTGGTACATGCAACCAGTGAAGCTTTTTCAAGTTTTATTTTATTGCTTTAAGACAGTGCATAGAGTGTACCTACTGTGTGGTATTGTTAATTAAAGAATAGTGTTGTTTATACAGCATTAGATAGGCCTCTAGAAAATTCATTTTACATCATTTAGATTTGTTTTTTGTCTTTTGATTTTGATGTATTACAGCTCATGAAAATCAAGTCAAACCAATTCTCACTACCAAAGGTTACATAAGGGATTTTCAAATATTACACCCAGACAAGTTGCTCTTTCATTTTCTCTGAGTCATCAGGGCAAAAGAAATCAAAACCAGTGTATTATCTCAGACTTGGTAGGTTGGTCGCCAGCAGACGAAACAGCCGAACCCCTAAAGTAGTAAGATTCACCAAATCAGAAAGCTTAATGGCAGCTGTAGGGCCAGAAAGACAGTGTTGAGTGGGCACAGGGTGAGAAGAGCTGTGAGATCTGCCGCATGCAGGTCTGCGCCATACTGTGCATGGTGAGCTGTGTTTATTCCCACAGTTTAAAACAAGAGGCTTATTATGAATTAATTAATAATTTGAGTTATACCTACTGTGCTGTATTGTTAAGTAAGGAATAATGTTGTGTTTATACAGCATTAGATAGATCTCTAGAAAATTTATTGAACTATATTATATATCATGTTGAATTATATCATAGCTTGAATTAAAGAGATTTTCCTATTTCTCTTCCCTTTCTTTCCCCACCTCCCCCAGGAGTTCTGTCAAGCTCTTCAGCAGCCTGATGCTAAAGTTTTTAAAAATTACCTAAAGGTGGGTATTTGGGGAATGTCCCTGTCTTTACTCAGTGAGGTGACGTTAGAGGGTATATAGTCTGACAAACTCACTCACCTTGGCATCGCTTTGCCCTAAGAAGATGGAATTGCAGAAGTTTTTGTGACTCTCCTTTGAGCTAAACTGTTGGAAAAAAGATATTTGAAATGAGATATTTGCACCAATTGTCTAAACATCCTGAACATATTGGAATGCAAATGCCAGAGTTTGGGTTTTCTTGTTTTATACTTTTATGATGTCATTAAACGGGTACTAGAGGATGGGAAGAACAAGAAGTTTTGAGAGACACTTTCATATTAAGTTGAAAGGACCTAAAAATACAAAAGCAGATGTATAAATTATTTAATTTCATTTTGAAACATTTGAATGTATAGCAAACAAAAGATACCCCTTGGATATAACCAGCAAGGCTGTTTTTTACATTCAAAAGTTTTAAATATTATAAGTAAATAAACTTAAACACCTCAGTTGGTACTGATACCAGTGATCCCTGCACTTGGAAGATGGAGGTAGGAGGATAACAATTAATGGTCAGCCTCTGCTACCTAGTGAGACCCTGCCTAATAGAACACTTGGAGATTCCTTCCTCATACTTAAAAAGACTGTACCAGCACAGATGACTTTTCCCTGCCCAAGGGACTCAATCACAGTCTGCTGGAGCCAGAACTGTTTCTGCTTTGTAGCAAAGCCCTGTATACTACATTTCTGGCTAACAAGTTACAAGTGAGTGGCTCCCTGGCTCAAGTTAGTAGAATTCTTAAATCGAGAGCTGGAGATACAGGTGGAGCACTTGCCTAACATGTACAAGACCCTGGGTACAATTTCTAACATCAAAAAACATAACATAAACTAAACTAAAGAGAATTTATGTCAAAAGCATTTGCTATCTTTTTTGATTCTGACATCATCCCTTGTCAGTTATCAGCATAAAGGGATTTTTTTTTTTTTTAATTTTCTTTTTGGGAGGAAAAAAGGAAAGTGCCTGTGAAAATGACTGGATCTGACTTGGTTGGTAGCAGGAAGTCCTGGGGCCCCGTGGAAGGCTCGTGCTTGGGTTCCTTGGTTCTTATGTGCTGGCTGGCTGACTCGGCTTCTCAGTGGCAGAGAGCGGTGTCTCGGTGCTAGCATTTTCTTCTGACTGGAAACAATCTCTGTGTCCTTTCTCCTTATGATTCCTCCCTGTTCTTTTGGATGGCTTCTGCTATCTCAGTGTTCCTTTCCTTGGTATAGCTTGGCTGATCTATCAAGTATTTCTTCGTACAGTGTTCTTACTGGAAATGCTGTTTACTAAGACAAGTTCATGCTTCTTATCTGGGGTTTCCGTGTTCTGATGGCAGATCATGTTTCTATTTCTCTTGTTAGAATCATCTTTGCTGTTCCCGGCTTACCTTTACCATGCTCTGTTCTGGCCATTCTGGTGACGTGACAGATACCATGGCCAAAGGTTCATCCCAGCTTACAGGTCACAGTCCTCATGAGCATGCTCTGGACAGCAATTTGAAGCCACAACCACCTAAGAGCACTGCTTGCTGGCTCGTCACAGGCTAAAAGTAGCTAGTTTTCTTACACAGTCCAAGGCCGCCTACTAAGAGAATGGTGTTGCCCACAGTTGGCTGGTCCAGCCTCTTTTAATTAACAGTCAAGACACTGTCCCACAGGCCAGATTGATGTGGGAAGTTCCTCAATTGAGACTCCTTCACTGGGGGCCCAAGGCTATGTCATCTTGACAGTAAAAGCTAAGACAGTCTTCTTGGAAGGCTTTTTTCTGCTCATTCAGGGTCGTTCTTAGCACTTTTTGGTTTTGGTTTATTTTGAGACAGGATCTCTATTATGTAGCCCAGGCTAGCTTGGAATTCACTGTCTCTTGCTTTGGCCTCCCAACTCTTGGGACTCTTAGGTGTGAGTTACCATGCCCACCCTTCCTCTCACCTAACTTGTCAGGTGAACCCAGACATCTAGGTCTTAGGAATATGAAGTCTTTTAAGGCTTAGGATTTCTGTCTTGTCTTTGACTTTTTTCTTCCTTAAATTTAACTTTCCACTGTTAATTTTACCAGTAAATAAAAAGCTGCCAAAACCTATATCTTGTTGCTCATAGCAGTGTTGTTTTTTTACCAAGCGGGGACTGGCATTCAGAGACCTGAAAGAGCTATCTTGCCTGACACTTGTGCTGTTTTTCAACACTGTTTTGCAGGTGTTCTTCCAGAGAGCAAAGCCCTGAGGACTGGATTCCCTGTCCTGTGTCATGACCAGGAGTCCCAGCTAATAATTTATAAAGAAGCCGTTTTTGTGTGCCATTCACATCCGTCTTTTAACATCGTTTAGAGTGTACTGCTGTGATGTGGGACTTATGTAAATGGGTGTAATTTTTCCCTAAATGCAGGTATGTGGCAATTGCCTGCATGCCAGTTTAAACTGTTTATAAGACATAGCTTTATCCTAGTACCTTAATTTTTTCTTTATATGAAACTCTAAAGTTCTTTATAAAAAAAACTATAGCAGTGGGAAACTGACTCTAACAATTGAATGTAAAGTTGGAAATGTTCAGTTTTATGTGTGCAGACACAAACTATGGGGTAACAATCAAAACGTAATTTTTTTCTGTAGATAGCCATTACATTTCTTTATAAACTGTTTCAATGCCAGTGGGTGTTCTATAAGAGAATGGGTTCCTAAATTAGTTGGTTTAAAAGTAGGTGCTGGTGTTACACATTTTTTATAAAAAATAAATTTTACATAGTGAAATATACCAAGTCTTTTCCAGAATTATTATAAATAGCCTCATTTTCCCAGCATAATCTCTCTGATTTCCCACCTAAAGGTTTGCAGACATGAATGTGGACGCCTTATTTCATTGACTGTATCCTTAAAGGTCACTCAACGGAAGTCTGTTAAGTTAGTCTTTTAAATGCACTAGAAACAGGCTCTGTGAATCTATGATAGGATTATAAATCCCAATGTTTTTCTATGATATTAGGTATTCATAGAGCATAATAAGTACACTTGGATTTTTGTTTGTTTGTTTGTTTGTTTGTTTGTTTTTGCCTTGAGACAGGGTCTCACTATATAGACCAGACTGGCTTCAAATTCAGAGATCTGCCTGTCTCTGCCTCCTAGCTGCTGGGATTAAAGGTGTGAACCACCAGGTCTGACCACTTGTGTGTTTGATTTTGTAGTCAGTTACTGCTTGATTACTACAAGTACTGCTGTGTGCTACAGGAGAAGGAGGGCTGGAACAGAGGGACAGGACTGCAGACACTGAAGGCCTGGGTCTCACTCCCAAGCATGGAGAGTCCTGGGTGCCCTCCTCAGCACTGCATAAAAGTAAAGGAGCATCTGAGGAGCAGGCCGTCCTCAGATGCATCGTGAGTTTGAGGCCAACCTAGGCCACATGAGAACCTGCCTAAAATTGTAGTAAACAGAAGCCTGCTGGCTTTGAGAGGGAGTTGTGAGTGCATTTCTTAGTGGCAGAATGCTCGCTTGAGGATCCAGTACCACAGAACAGGGAAGAAACAAAAAGATTTCAGGAGGGATTTGTGACCATAGATTCCCTAAAATCTTTTTAAAATGTGTGAGTGTGTGTGTGATATTCAGTGTGTTTTCATCTGTATGGGGTGGGTGGGGGTTGATAAGAACCCTCTTTATTGAGAGCATCTTCCACTGAACCTGGAGCTGTTTAGCTAGGTTGGCTGGCCCATGAGACACAGTCCTCAGTTCCCAGCGTTTATGTGGGTACTGGGGCAGGTCCTCATTCTCATTCAACCATTTACCTGCTGAGCGCCCTCCCCCCCATTTTACTCTAAATTGTGCACAGGAATCTTTTTCTGATTTAAGTCCACAAGAAATAGCATTTCCTACATTATAAAATAAAGGCAGTAAAATTGACAGCTAGGAATAGTCTTTTATTGAATGATAAAAATAGATTAGTGAAGTGTATATAACACTTCAGGAAATAATGGGTTTTTAAAAATGGGAAAGTGGGCCAGGTTTGGTAGCTTATGCTTATAATCACAGCCTTTAGAGGATGCTAGGGCCAGTCTGGGCTAGAATGAGACTTGGTTTCAAAAACAAAAACAACAACAACAACAAAAACAAGACAAGCAAAACTGGGGTTTTCCTGTGCACTCTGAGATGCAGTGGCATCTGTCGCAACAGTGTGATTGTGCAAGGTGTTGTAGTTAGGAGCACCTCAGAGTAGTGAAGATTTGTGTACTGTGGACTCGGGACCCACACACCACTCACCAGTAACTGATTTTAGGACCTTGAACAAGTTAAATGACTTCTTCCTGCCTTGGTTTCCCCCTCAGAAATGGGGAAAATAATGGTAGCTACCTCATAACTTGTTAAGAATTCAATGAGTTAAAACATAGGCCTCAGTATTAACTTGTATTATTGTACTATTGAGCCCACACATGGCTCTCTAAAGCCCTAAAATAGATTCACATGTGTTTAGACCTAAGGAATCAGAGTGTTTAAGTAAGGAACTTCATGTCAATGTAATCATGTATAAGAATGCTCATCTTCATTCCTTGAGGTTACCGCCATGATAGGAGACTGTTCCCGTCATTCATTAAGTACCTTATTTTTAAAAGCAAGCTAGTGAATCTCATTTGTTACAGGTGAGAAAACAGGCGAAAGACATGGGTTTTATGGTGCCTGATTTATGGTCCTGTGCCTAACCGTTTGTTTCAGTCTCGATGCTTGCTAATGGGATCACAGGTGGCTTGACTTTAAGAAAGTACTATGTGGTATTTTAGTGTGTATCACTTATGTGGTAAACATGTGAAGTCCTTTGGCTTACTCATATTTCCTCCATAATTTTTGAGCTGTGGGTTTTTCTGTTGGCAGAAACTTGGATGCTCATGTCGTCAGAACTGAAATAGGTTTTAATTGTAAGCAGAAAATGCATTTGCTGTTAGAATGATTTCATTGCCTAAACTGTTTAAAATTCTAATAAAATAACTTTGTTTTTAAGAACTCATTGGGTTGGGCTTTTTTTGATCGCCATTGTGCATTTGATGAAAACGGGCCTATGGAGTTTCAGGTCAGAAGTGGGGACTTCATCCCCTTCCTTATCTGTTCCTGGGGGTGTCTTCCTTCATCATTCTGCTCTGGGACCCACTCTCCTTCCCCCCCCCCCCCCCCCCAGAACTTACACCTTCCGTCTGTGGGGCCCAGGGCAACCTGGCTGCATACAATAGGGCCAAGGCAGGCAGCACCTGTTCCGGGAAAAGCCATAAGCTGACACCACCCAGGGAGGGCCAGCGTGTAAAGGGAAGTACCTGATGTACCAACCATTAGATAAGGTCACCGGATGTCCTGGAGCCCAGGACTCACCTACTCCCCTTTTGCCGAGACCCCTAGACAGATGTCTGCCAATCACCCCAACTACTACTATGATAAGAACCCTACCCCGACTGGGCTTGGCGCACTCTGTTCTGCTCTCATCAGCTACGTTGGGGAGACGGAGAGTCCAAGCTTAAGCTTGCTTGAATAAAGGATTTTTGCTTTCACATACGAGTGCGGACTCGTGATTTTTGGGGGACCCCACGATATGGGCGTAATACCGTCCACTGGAGTCTGCCTTGAGCAGAATCTGATCATAGCACTGGTTTAGCGCTTTTAAGTTTCAGTGTTTAAATTCTCCAGTATTACCCAAAACCAGAATGGACATTATGAACTGATACTTGCTCATGCCGCCAAGTGATGTTTAAAACACAAACCTGCCTCCCAGTCAGATATCTACTCGGCGAAAGCCCTCAGGACCAGCATTCTGCCCACCTGTGACTGGTCAGAGCGGTGCCGAGTTCCCTTAGCTCCACCCGCGGGGCGAGCGCGGTCGCCACAGGGCACTGCAGCCAGCGAAGCTCGGCCCGGCCGCCGCGGCCCCGTAGGCCCGCAGGAGTACGCACGCGCAGGCGCGCCCCGCCGCCGCCGTCGGTCACGTGCTCCGTGGCCCGGACTGGCGAAGCCGGAAGTAGCCTGGGGCGCGAGAAGGCCCCGGAGCTGCGGGCTGTGCGCGGCGGAGACTCGGCTGGGTAAGAGGGATCGGGCGAGGTCGGCGGGGTCGGGCGGAGCGGGCTGGCGCCCCCGGGAGTCGGGGAGGCAGGCGGGTGCTGAGTCAGTGCGGGGCCGCGGCCCGGAGGGGTCCCGCAGCCTCGCGCTCGCCCCGGCTGGGCCCTGGCGGCGGGGCAGAAGGGCTGCCCAGCCCGGAGCTGACTCCCGGCTCGCACCCTTGGCCCAGCTGACACGTTTTAAATGGACTGGCAACTGAACAGACGTCCTCAAAGGTTGACTCACCCGAGGCTACCAGTACGAGACTTTTTTTTTTTTATGTACACAGGCAAAATTGCAAATTCCCGTGTTTTCTAGTTTCTCTTTGACCTGACTTTTGGATTTATTTGCCTCATCCGTTTCCCCGGTATTATCTGTCGGTCGCCCCAAGAGAAGG